GCAGAGGGGCTCCAGCCCTGGGAGCAGCTCCGTGGCCTCCTCTGGCCTCTCTCCAGCAGCTCCATGTCCTTCCCGTGCTGAGGCCCCAGGGCTGGAGGCAGCTCTGCAGGGAGGTGTCACCTGAGTGGGCAGAGGGGCAGGACCCCCACACCCCCAGGTCCTTCTCCCCAGTGCTGCTCCCAATCCATTCTCCCCAGCCCGTGTGCTGGGACTGTCCTGACCCAGGTGCCACTTTGCACTTGGCCTTGTTGAACTCCATGAGCTTGGCACAGTCCCACCTCTCCAGCCTGTCCAGGTCCCTCTGGATGCCCCATCCCTTCTCTCTGGCCTGTGACTGCCCCACACAGTCCCACATCAGCAGAGGTGCTGGGGGTGCCCTCGATCCGTGTCCGTGTCGCCGAAGGAGCCGTTCCACAGTCCCAGGCCCGATCCTGAGGAAGCCACTGGTCCCCGGTGTCCACAGAAAGTGGGGGCACACACAGACCCAGAGTCCCAGCTGTCCCAGCACAGGGTGGTTGTACAGCCAGGGAAGATTCTCCTTGTACTGGAACGGGGTATTTTAACAAACCCCGCAGAATAAAGTCGGGCTCTCGTTCACCAGCTCCACAGGAATACACGGAGGACAAGGGGATCCTGAAACCCCGTGGATGGCTGGGATACAGCCCTGGATCCACTGCAGGAGCCCAGCTGTGGAGAACTCCTCTCCTGTCTTCCCCAGAAGCAACAAGCCCCCGGCACTGCTGGGCTGGTCCCTGTGCCTTGCACGTGGAGCTGATCCCGCCGATATCCGAGTGCTGGAGCCACATCCAGGGTCAGCAGCAGGGGAGAACACAACAGTCCGGATGGTGGGAACTCCTGGCTATTCTGAGGGAGCAGCTGGAGGCTGCCCAAGGCAGACACCAGCCATGGATCCCACGTGTGGAGCCACGGGGCTCCCAAGGCCACAGGCAGGTGCCACAGAAGGTCACTGTCACGGCTGGTGGCCCACAGCTTTCTCTGGGAGAACTGGGAGAACTGGGCCATGGGAACAGCAGCAGCAGCCATGAAACCTGATAGGGCTGAACATGGGGGTGTTTGAGCCAATCCCAGAACCTGGATGCAGATGGGATCCACACACTGGGGCTGGGAGAGCTCGGGATGCTGCCAGTGCCTGCAGACAGACCCTGACTGTGACCACAACCTTCAGCTCCTTCCCTCTGAGCAATCCAGGCTCTGCTGCTCTGCCCCAGTGTTTCTGGCTCATGCCAGTGCTTAACACACCTGCAAAGGGGGAACCTGTGCTGGGAACTCCTGTCTGGACACTCCCTGTTCCCTCTCCCAGGGCAGGGGGGTGGAAGCCACCCCATGCACGTGCTGAGCTGTTGGTGAGATGCTGCCAGGGCTGAACATCCACTTTCAGAGGCTTGTTTTCTCCACAAATCCCTGGAAAGTGCCCCCTTTCCAGGAAAACAAGGCAGACTGGCTGCAGGGGTTGGCACGGCCCCATGCCAAGCTGGGCCAGCGCTGGGTCCCAGCACAGCCAGAAGGAGAGAAGAGAGGCTGTGGGGCAGAACCTTGGCCTGGGAATGGGGTCAGCTGGAGCCAGGGCCGGGGGAAGGTGGGATCATCTCCAGGCAGGATCATCACCAAGGAGGTGGGAGAGCCCTGAGGGGTCACAGCATGTCATGGCAGGCCCAGCAACACCTGCTCACTTCAACCTTGTAACTCCACAAAGCATCTTCTTGTCCATGAAATCCAACCCAACCCTTCTGGCTGCCTCAGTCCCACAGGGATCCGGGCACGGGTCGGTGAATAAATCCTTTAAAAACAAGCAAGAGAGGGGCAAATACAGAGGGGCAACTACAGCAAAACCTGGATTTTTTAAACTGAGGTGACCTCAGGGCTGTGTGAAGAGGGCGAGTTTTCCCTGCTGAGCTCCAGAGTCTCTCCCTCTGTCCCGCAGGTCCTGCAGTTTCCAACCCAGGCGGGCCCAAAGCAATCCCACGGTGCTGGCAGCGCGTGGGGCGAACGACACCGGCAGCTGGAGAGCCCTCTCTGCTCCAGGAGGAATTTCTCCCCTGGGAGCAGGCACTGGGAACCCGATCCCTGGACAGCTGGTCCCGTGGGAGGCGCAGGAGGAGCAGCAGGAGCAGGTCCTTGGTGACCCCACGGCCGTGTCCCCTCCCAGGGTGGCTCTCCCTGGGCACCCGGGGGTGGTTTGGGGGTTCCATGTCCCCATTCCTGCTGTGGCTGTCGCTGCTGTTCCTGGGATCCCTTCCCTGGAGCAGAGGGCAGCACCGTGCCAGGTCCCACCTCGCTGGACCCCCAGTTTGTCTCTGGGCTCGTCATCCGGGGGGGGCTGAAGGAGCTGATGGGGAATCAGCCCAGGAGGACCCAATTCCCAAATATCCCAACGGTCTGAGCTAACCCATTTCATACACAACCCATCCAGCTGTAACTCAGGAATATATTCCCGAGGGACAGAGGGAAATGCAGTGACTGCTGAGCCCAGCACACAGTGGCACATCCCCGGGGGGCAGCAGAGCCCAGCCTGCTGTGCCAGGCTCCAGGGACATCCCAGCACATGGCACAGAGCCACCATGCCAGGGACAATCCAAGGGGCACCTGACAGACCAGGACACACACGGGGAGCAGCTGTGGCACCCACGGGCTGATTTTGGGAGCTGAACACCAGCAGCTGGAAACTTCTGCTGGGATTCTCTACAGCACCAAGTGCCCCTTTTCCTGGTGGTTCCCACAAGGAAGTGCACAGGGGAGGTTTGCAGGTTTGCATCCACGGGGATGGGATTCCTGGGATCACACTGGCTGTGTCAGGGACAGCAGGAGGACGAGGGGACACTCCCAAGCCCAGTGCTGGGACAAGAGGGAGCAAAGAGCATTGCCAGGATATTTCCACCATCTTGGGTGAGGCCCAGCTAAGGCCTGGCCTGTATCCCACTGTATCCCTAAGGATTATGCTCCTGAACCAGTATGGCACCTTGTGAAGAGGAAAAGCTGTCCCAGGACACAGCCAGGCCTCGATGGGATGCCGGGAAAGGGCCCTTCAGAGGAAGCACTTCTGTGGAGCAACAGGAGCCACTGATGGCTCATCCCTCCTGGAAACCTCGGAGCAGAACAGGAAAACACCTGGAGCCTCAGCCTTCCTCCATCCCAGCAGTGCTCACTGCTCTCTTCCCTGGATCCAGCACACCTACAGCCTACCCAGACAGACTCCAACAGCACTCACCTGCCTGAGGGCAGGAAGGATCTGCTTCCACCCACACCTCCTACCCTGCTCCATGATCCCACCGATCCCACCCATCCCATGGGAGCACTGCCAATGGGGGAGGGAGAGAGGATGGCATGGACTGACTGGGCAATGAGGGAGGGAGAGAGGATGGCATGGACTGACTGGGCAATGAGGGAGGGAGAGAGGATGGCATGGACTGACTGGGCAAACAAAGTGGAGAGCAAAGCATGGAGTGAGGAAAGGCTGGAGTGCAGGAAGCCTGGGAGCAGAGGGGGAGCAGGGGAAGGGGCAGGAAGAGGATCTGGAACAAACCCCTGGTTTTCCCCAGCCCTGCAGCCCAAGGGGGATTTTTCCAGGGGTTCCCGCTCGGGCACATCCTGGCACAGGGCTGAGGGAAGCCCAGGGGCTGCCCTGGGCAGGGTCTGCTCCCCCAGCCCTCACTCCTCACCCTCCCTGCCCTGGGCAGGGTCTGCTCCCCCAGCCCTCACTCCTCACCCTCCCTGCCCGGAGCATCCCCTGCTCTGGGCTCCTCATCCCGTGCCCAGCGTATGGCACCAGGGCACAAAACCTTCTCCTAAGGCAAATTCCCAAACTTGCTGTAGGGCTGAGCTCCTGAGCAGCCTCAGTGCAAATCCAACAGCAGTTTCCTTCCTTCCACCCTTCGGGAGCTGTGAATTACTCATTTCCCTGGATTCCTGACTCTCTCCCTCCCTTTGCTTTGGCTGCCGCCTCCCTTCCCAGCTGGAGAAGGGCCATGGTGGGGATTTGGTCCTACCCTCCCATCTCCACGAGCTCTATCCACCTGAGGCAGGCACTGGCAGCAGAAACCTCTGTGCACACACAGCCCCCTCCAGCCCCTCTCCCCTGCAATCCCGGGATCCCGCAGCACTCCGGCCCGGAACCGCTCTGACCTTATTTGCGCCGGATCCTCTGAAGCCAATTGCAAAAGAGAAGCAGAGAGTGAGGAGTGGAGGGAGCAGCTCCCTGCCAGGATAACCCGGCAGGACTCCAGAGGCAGCGATGCCCAGCCTTTCCCGGGGAAGGGCTCCTTGGAGCTCCCCCAGCACTGGCACGTGCCCGCTGTGGGAGAGGCCAACGCGCCCCAGCAGCCCCAACACTCGGGGGCACCTTCCTGCTACCAAGGGAGCCAGGGGTTTGTGGGGTCGCGCTCTGGTCCTTGGAGTGACTCCCTGGAAGGCCTTTCTCAGCCTCCCCCGCTGTCCTGCCTGGCTGCCCGGGAGGCTGTGGAGCTCCAGGGATGTCTGGGAAGGCCCCAGCACCGGGGATATCAAGGAGGAGGAGAGATCCGTCGGCTGCGGCGGCGTTTTTAGGGATGCATCAAAGCAGGATCTGCTGATGATGCACTTGGATAAAACAATTAACAGCGACAAAACAACATCTTTGGGCACCCAGCTCCTGGTTTCCGCTGTCTGGAATGAGCAGGCATGGATGAGGTGGAGGGAGTCGCTGCTATTGTGTAGCTGGAGCAAATCCCGGGTGAAAGGGTCCGACTGTCATTAATTGTCATTAATTATCCTGCCTCAGGGGACAGACTTTGCCTTGGGAACAGGGAGGGGACATTCCAGCTGCTGATGAGGACCAAGGTTAGGCCCCCAGTTATTCCCTCCAAATGACCTCTCAGCACCATCCCTTTCCCTCTCCGGGATCCCCAGACCAGATCCCATTTCCCTCTGCCACTCTGGGGGGTCTGCAGGGTCTTTCACCTGGGCAGGAATTCTGTGTATTACAGGCCTCAGGTGGAAACTAAACACCTCTTTTGGACAGGTCATCAGCCCCAAGGCTGCTGGGATGAGCCCTCCCTTCTGCAGAGCCAGGGAGCTGATGGCAACAGGGACCAGCAGCATTCCCAGCTCTTACCAGTCTAACTCGGACACTGTGACTGAGCTCCCACCAGCAGGGATTAATCCAGAGTTTAATTATGCTGCTTCTCATCCTCCCCAAACAAACATTTATGAATTAACTGATGCTGCTCTTTAACTCTCCATCGTGGAGTGGGTGCAGGAGTTTCCCCCTCAGTATTCCAGACTCCAGCATCTGCCTGGGGCTCCTCAGCTTTGAGACACAACTCAGGGAGCAGGTGGAACATCCAGAGCAGAGACTGTGTGAACAAGGTCAGGAGAGATCCCAGCACCTGAGGGCAGAGGGAGATAAGGGGACAACGTGCTGGGATGGACGAAGATCTGATGACTGGGAATGTTGTCCTGCCTGGATAAATAATGTGGATGGACATTTCCTCTGCCCACTGCCTCACCCAGAGAATTCCAGCCTTCTCCCAGCACTCTGCTCCCCACTGAGGATTAGGAGACTGTTTTTAAGTTTGCCAAGGAGAAAGCCTGGAATGGAATTGGAATGGCCTGTCCAGGGTCACAGGCAGCCCCTGGAGGGCAGGAGGACAGGACAGGACAATCCCCTGATGGTCCATCACAGCCCTCCCACCGCCTGCCCTGAGTGCTGGGACACCCTGAGACACGAGCACACATCCCACTGCTCCTGAGCTGGGGATCCAGCACTGCAGGCACAGCACCTGGAGCTGCTGCATCCATGACCCTGTGGGACAAGGAGCTCCTGGGCCCTGCTCAGACCAAAGCCACCCGAGGAACGGGACCCTCTGCTTGGGGCCCAGAACATTCCTGACCTGGCTGTTGGAGCAGCCCAGTTCAATCAGACAGGACTCCTGCACCTCCCTCACACCAGCAGGTGAATCAGGAGAGCTCAGGGGTTCAGGGGTGTGCAGGACAACCAGTCCCTGGCATCCTCCAGGTCTCCAAAGAGCCAACTCAGAGGGACCAAGCTAAGCCAGTGATCCAGCAACAGAAGCTCCAACTGCCTCCTCAGACATTCCTTGGCCAAAACACACCCATTCCTCTTCCCTGCCAAGCCAGAGTCACTCTGGAACACATTCCTGAGCTGCTGCTTCACCACCTCCTACAACCATCCCCAATTTCACAAACACAACCTCACGGTCCCACCTGCCATGTTCCCTTTGCAATTTGCTTGTGAAGACCCCAAACAAGTCCAGGCTTCAAACCAGGCCGGGGTTTGATGCTCAGTTGTGGTGCCTCCTCAGAGGTGGAACCTCACTCGTTTTGGGATAACCCAGTGCCCGGGAATTCTCATTTGCTCAGCTACAGTGGAACAACAGCACAGCGCCTTGGGAACGCCCCCACTGAGCTCCTGGGCGTGGGGATGGCCCATGGAACACTCCTCGGAGGCTCCAGGGGCTCGGGAGAGCGGTGGGAGGAACAAACAGGCGGATAAACCATGAAATAAAGGCCCAGAGGGAAAGGGCGGGAGGAATGTGGCAGAAAGAGCACCCGGGCAAGCGGCAGCTCCGAGGCCCAGCAGGCAGGAGGCAGCTAGAAAAGAAACAGCAAATATACCCAAAGCTCCCAGTGCGACAGCGAACTCCAGAGGTGACATCAGGAGGGGGCAGGTCGGGGGTAGAGTCCATCTGGAGGAAATAAGAGGTGGTGTGATGGTAATAGACAGGGTGGACATGGCAAGCAGGAGCAGCGGTGGTGGTGGATGAGGAGCAGGAGGTGGAGGAGGTGGAGGCAGGCGATGGGCCGGCGCCGGGCAGGTCGCAGCTGAAGGACTGTCCGGAGGAGAGGCTCGGCATTCGGCGCAGGGACGCTCGGCCCGCCCGGAACGGCGCCGCGGGGCCCGGCTCGGGCTGCCCGGGCACGGAACCCTCTACCAACCTCTGCGATCCGTGGCCGTGCTGGGCGTCCACCAGGCGCTGCCGGACCGTGCTGGGCAGGGCAGGAGCTGCGGAGACAAAGGACAGGCTGAGGGCACGTCCTGCGGGCCAGGAACGCCAGAGCTGCCACCCCCAGGAACGCTGTGCCAGAGCTGCCACCCCCAGGAAACGCTGTGCCCAAGGAGCCACCCAGCCTCCCTAGGTAACAGCTTTGTTGCCTAGAGCCACCACCCCCAGAACGCTGGTGCCAGAGCCGCCACCCCCCAGGAATGCTGTGCCAGAGCCACCACCCCCCAGGAATGCTGTGCCAGAGCCACCACCCCCAGGAATGCTGTGCCAGAGCTGCCACCCGTGGCACTGGCGCTGCCCCACCACAAACCAGCGGTTACGCCCGTTTAATGCAGAAGCAGCTTTAAGCTGGTGCTGAACATGCTGGATTAATGCCCAGCCCGTGGAGAACTCTGACATGGCTGATGGAGGTGCCTCTGAACACCTTATCTGAGCATCTTGCTTGAAGCAGAACCTGGCTGTGGGATTCATCCCACCTAATCAATCCCACCCGGCTCCCAGGGAGCCAAGAACTGGGCACCTCCAGGCCATGAGCCATCCCACCCTCGTGGACACCACGTGGCTCAGGTGGGACCTACACAGCCCAAAACAGGACCCTTGGGTGAGCAGAGCAGGTCCGTGTTGGCACCCAAAGCTGTCACTTCCAGAGCTCAGCTCTGCTCCCAGTTACAGCATCATCATGCCAGTGGAGTGCCAGAGTAAAGCACTGAAATCATGGAATCATAGAAGAGTTGGGAAGGAATTGATGCCTGTGAGGGTGGGGAGGCCCTGGCCCAGGTTGCCCAGAGAAGCTGTGGCTGCCCCTGGATCCCTGGGAGTGTCCAAGGCCAGGTTGGACGGGGCTTGGAGCACCCTGGGCTGGTGGAAGGTGTCCCTGCCCATGGCAGGGGTGGCACTGGATGGGCTTTGAGGTCCCTCCCAACCCAAACCTTCTGGAACTCGTGCCTCATTCCTCCACGCCTGCAATGGTGGCTCTGGGCCCAGAGTGGCCTCACCTGCTCCCAGCCTGTTCCATGACACAGTTCCTCAGCCCCTGCACTCCCTGAGCCCCTGGACCCAGAGCCAAGGGCGGCCCCTTCCCCTGCTCGGAGCCTTGGGCACCATCCCCTCCATCAGACCGAGCATTTCATGGAAAACTGGGGATCCCAGGCCTGCACCCCCACCCCCAGCCCAGCAGGCTGGCTGTGCTCCAGCCCCTGGCTGTCACCCATACAAGATGTTCCTCCTTTTGCAGGAGATAAGGTGTTCAGGATTGTCCAGGGTTGCCCAGGATTTCTTATGTGCATAAGAAATAAATGTACAAATGGGTTAAAAAGGTGAAGAGACAGGAAAGCTCAGAAATGGAGGAAGAGAAGGAGAGCTCCTTTGGGAATGAAGAACCAGCAATCCCTGCTCTGAAAACTCCCAACTGGGACACACAGGGCTCTTCTGACAGAGCAACTCCTTCTGAAGGATCCACAGGGACATATTTCAAGTGGAAGAAGGAATAAGAAGGAATAATTCTGGTAATTTGGCTGTTTCCACATGCCCAGGGTGAATTCCAGTCTCTCCCACTGCTCAGGTTTGCTGCTCCTTGGATCCTACGCTCCATCCATGACCCTGTCCCTGCACAGTTTTACACCATCCACTTGCTACTTCAAGACATTTCTTCTTCAGCTCCAGAGCTGCAATTCCAGTCTGGGAACCTCACTGTGGGGGCCCACAGGGATCCCCCTGCAGAGGAACTAACTGGGGTGACGGGTTTCTTCTGCAGATTTCTCTTTCCCTTGGGTCACATTTTTTTTTCCTGAGGATTCCCTATTTTTTTCCTGGTGTTCCACTCCTCATTTACTGACCTGACACCTTCCCCCTCTGCACCTCTCCTTGCCATCACTTATCCTGGGATGAGCTCCTGAGCACAGGCTGGGACCTCGCTCCCAAAACCACCATTTCCCTCCAGACACACATTTTGCCAACATTCCCCAAATAACCTGCCCAGCATTCCAAGGAAAACCCCCAATGGCACGGCCCTGGCCGGGGCTGGTGCACACCCTCCTGCTCCATCCTGAAGGAAAGGCTGCAGCCCAAGCCAGGAGGCTGTGTGCCATCCCCATGGCATCAGGGCACCGGGGCACAGGTTGCCCTAAGAGGTGGCACTGCTCAGTCCACTGAAGGATTCCAAGGGCACAGGGCACAGGGGATGGGGGAGCCCTGCCGGCAGCCGGGAGGGAGGTGGGATGGGAAAGGGAGCATTGTCACCTCCTCCTGGCCTCACCTGGATCCTGCATCTCCACTTGAGGGGTAGAACCATGACCCCAACCCTCCAGAATCCCTAACTGCACTCAGGACACGTGAGAGCTGAGCTGGGATTCTTCTTCATCCCACCAGACTCCTCCCGGGGTTAGTACAGGAGCCGCCGGCTCAGTGAGGAGACATTAATTCATTAGTGCCCCGTGCCAGAAAGGTGGAAAATCGGTGGATGTATTTTAGTCCAGAAAAAGGCCAGAGGGCAGATGAAAAAATGACAATAAAACTGAAGAGAACCAAACCAGGGTATTTCCAGAGGGACTGATCCTCCGAGGACAGCGAGGAGCGGTCGCTGAAGCGGCGCCCGAAAAGCCAGGCTGCGTCTGGGGGGGCAGCCAGGGGGGCAGGAGAGACAGACATGGGATTTACTGGGACAGGCACCACAGGGGGTCACAACACTTCTGGGCAGGGGGAACTCGGCACTGCTCTCCTGAAGCAGGGCTGGCACCCAGAGAAAGGAAAAGCCTCCAGGGACAGGCTCCCTCACTTGGGAATTCGGGTGCCCA